ATATATATATATATATATATATATATATATATATATATATATATAAATATGTATAAAAGCTTCCTAGTCAGAATCTGCAACCTTACAATGTACCACAGGCTTTAATTTATCACAGTACACGAGAGAGAGAAATCTTGTAGTTGGCACAAACCACTTAAAGAAAGTGTGTATTTTTTTATATGGAAATATCTGGAATATTATGAATACTAAATTGCATTGGTTGGTAGAGCTGTTGCCTCTCAGCGAGAAGGTCGCAGGTTCAAATCCCCATCCGGGACCTTTCTTTGTGGAGTTTGCATGTTCTCTTCGTGCATGCCTTGGTTTTCTCCAGGTACTTTGGTTTCCTCCCACAGACCAAAAACATGCATGTTAGGCTGATTGGTAACTCTAAATTGTCTCTAGGTGTGAGAGAGAGTGAATGGTTGTTTGTCTCGTTTGTCTTTATGTGTCCCTGTGATGGACTGGAGACCTGTCCAGGGTGTCCCACCTCTCAGGCAGTGATGGCTGAACATGGGCACCAGTGATTCCCGTGACACGAAAAGGAAGAAGCGGATAAAGATAATGTATGGAAGTTGCATTTTAATGCACAATGGCTTCCAGTCTGACAGCAATAATTTTGTTCAATGTAATTAAAGAAAATATTTAGGACACATAAAAATTTAACACTGACATTGTGCAATGAAATCACAATACTTGTTACACCAACAACCTCCTGGACCACAATGTTAGCACAAAGCAATGACAAATTTACAAAATAATTGATGTCTCAAACCTGAAACCAAGTTAAAGTGATGCAGGGGTGTTAAGGAGGACAGTGACAACCTTTCAGAACACAACTATGGCTACATTTTACTCACAACAAGTGTGTCACAAGGTCAGACAGTGCTGCGCTCAGAAAAAAATTCAAAATCCCAGGAATCCAGTTTCAAATCAGAAGATCTTTGCTAACAATTAGGAAAAATAATGTTTTTTTCTAACTGTAAAAGGATCCAAACATGCATGTTATACTGCCTTCAGGTCCAGGCCTCCCATGCAAAAGAGACCTGTGATATCAGTGGGGTTTGCCTGGTTAAGTAAATGTTAATAAATAAATAATAAAACAACAGCATCATTCTGAAGTTTACTATGCTGCATATAAACAAACTAAAAGACTCCTGGACTATGTCTTTAGGATATTTTAGACCATAACCATAGACCATTTACATAATCTGTTTGAAGAACAACAAAGACAGCAAATCTGCACAAACACCACATACCCACTGTCAAGCACAGTGGTGGAGGGGTAATGATATGTTTGTTTTATTTTTGCAGTGATGAGAGTGAACTACAGTTTCCTCCATTTTCAAAGTATTTTAGAGCCAAACATGAAGCTTGGGTCAGGCAACAGGAGGATGATGGTCCTGTGTAGAAAAGGTCCAATCAAAGCTCATACCTGATTAAATGTGATGGCACTTACAAAAAACTGTGTCTAAATTAGCAGTTTTCAACGCTGCGTGGAGTGAGCCAAAAAACCCCCAAACATATTTCACAACATTGTGACAAACAAAGTTATGCAAAAGATGATTACAGCATATTTTCCTGCTGGTATCAGCCCATCATTTTGTTGCATTTTGGCTTAGGCTCTATCAGTTCAATTCAGTTCAGCTCAATTCAGTTTATTTTTAAAGTGTCAAATCACAACAGAAGTTGTCTCAGGGTGATGTACAGAAACATTCACATACATGGAAAAGACAGTTAGCAAAGTTCTCTGTCTAAGGAATCCAGCAGACTCGTTGAATCTTCACTTCACCACAGTCTCCCATCCTGAGCAAGCACAAGGGCAACAGTGGAAAGGAAAAACTCCCTTTCAACAGGAAGAAACCTCCAGCAGAACCAGGCTCAGGTCGAGTGGCCATCTGCTTCAACAGGCTGTGTTTGAGAGGACAAAGGAAGAACAAACACAGAATGGCAGGTCCAGATGTCAGTGCAGGTGAGACAAAAACACATGTCATACATAGAAAAAATTACAAATACAAAACAGGTAGAGTAGAGCAAAGACACCAGCAGAGTGAAGAAATGAGGTCAGTTTGTCCTTCATTACTCTAAGCCTATAGCAGCATAACTAAGGGATAGCTCAGGAAACCCAAGCCAACCCCAACTGCAGCCCTCCGGATAGAGGGCCGAACGTCTTTCCACAAAAAAGGAACTGTCCAGATGACCTGACTGACCAATTATTGTATTTTGTACCTGGATGATTGAGCATGAACTTTGATGTCTTGAACCACTTTGGCTGTGGCTGCCTGCCTGGGCGGAGTCGACGGGGGACAGGACAGCCCCCAGCAGTGTTGCCAGGTGTACGATAATTATCGTATTTGTACGACAATTTTGCCCTCTGTACGATGTACGATCAATAATCCCCAAAAAAGGCCAAATATACGATCATTTGATCATTCCGTGAATGTGTGGTTGTAATAGTTGTCATCAGCCTGTCGCAACTATCTGTCGGAGTTTTTTGTGAACCCTGAAGGCATCTGTGTCCGCAGACAGATGCACGATTGGCTGGAAGTGCTTTTCTAAATGTGACCTACGAGTGACGTGTTTGCGTTTGCCTCAGAACAACGGCCATGATTGGATGAATAGTCCGCTGCGCCCGCCCCATGAGTGAGGAAAAGAAAAGAAGAAGAAGCAGAGCCGGTCTGGAAGCGGACCCATCACTACTATAGTGCGTTAATAGATTTGTTATTTTGGTTATGACGGGTGTACAATTATTTCCTTCAAAATACAATAATTTTATGTCTCTAGTACGATAATCCTACATTTCTCACCTGGCAACACTGGCCCCCAGAAACCATCTTATCTCCAACAAATTGGTTAGTCCACTAAAGGAGTGTACTGCTTAGCAGGGAAAACGGTTTACTTGGCACTCTTCAGACTGATGAAGCCCTCTGGATAGAGGGTGAAACGTCTTTCCACAAAATAGAAACTGTCCAGGTGACCTGACTGACCATTAATGGATTTTGTACCTGGATGATTGAGCATGAACTCTGACGCCTAACTATAGGATTTATCAAAAAGGAAAGACTTAAGCCTAAGTAGACAACAGTCTCACGGACAGAAACTGGAAGTTGGTTCCACAAGAGAGGAGCCTGACAACTAAAAGCAGCTGCCTCCCATTCTGATTTTGGAATCTCTAGGAACCACAAGTAAGCCTGCAGTCTGAGAGCAATGTGCTGAGAGCTTACCCAAAGAAAGTCACGTGTTGTTTTATTAAAGAGCTGAATCAGATCATTTTATTGTATTTTTCTTGATAAGCATCAGCAGCCTTATCAAACTGTAGGTGTGATCTGGTGGCCCATAAGTGATCTGTTAGCTATTAGTTTTTATGGCTGCCACGCCTACCAGGAAGTTCAGATAAATCTGACACAGCAACTATAGCAAGAATCTGTCCGAATGTCCCGAGTAAAAGCAGCAAGATGGAGCAGACAGTGAGGGAATTGGTCGTAAAAACACCACATGGCGCTCAGAGGATGCTGCGCCTGAAGGCAAGCGCGATCTTTCAAACCCAGCCCCAGAAAGTGCCTCAAAGCCGGTGAGGAGCTCCGGGCCGGTGGGCGCACACTTCCTCCTCGTCCTCGACAGAACTGTTGATTCACGAGCGCAAAAAAAAAAAAAAAAAAGGAACTTCTTCAACCGGAAACCAAAAACTTTTTTTCTTGTTCTGTGCGTGTGAGCGCAGCGTCCTCCTCCTCCTCCGAGGCGAAAAGAGGAAAACGATGCGAGCCTCGGTGTCATAAAGCGCACAGTTCCTTGTTTTCAACATTTGCTGCTGGAAATGTGTCCTCCGCTCGTCAACAAGTGAGAAGTTTCAGGACGAGGGGAATAAAAACTACACAACCATTGAAACAAACTGCGGCGTCGTGTGATTTTGAGCGGACTGTCAGCCACATAACGGACCCTGCTCCTTTATAATGGAAGATGTGAGTACTCGGTCCAAATGTTTCGTGCTTTTGGACTTTTACTGAAGCGATGTCTCACTTTTACTGTGTTTGAGTTGTGTCACGTTGTACAAGGCGAGGGTGGAAAGAAAAACGGGCGCGACCAACTTTTCGCAGCAGGACCGAGGGCCCACGGACACGGTGTCAGTGTGGACTGAGAGTTTTATAAGATTAACAAGAAGGCGGTGTTTTACTACAACACTCAACATCTGCCACAGCTAATATCGTTTGGCTCGAAGAGCACCTGCCCACCTGCCAGCCTGTTGCTTCAGCTTGTTGCTCAAAACTCCCGAGAAACCCGGAGCCAGAGCCGCGGAACTCCGTTTAAAATATTACATTTTTAATAAAAACTGTGTGTGGGTGCAAACTGCAAAAAGCTCAAACAAAAGGCACGAAGGATTCTAAGTTGGAAGGGTGTTGTGCTTAGTTCGGCGTGATTACTACACCCATTGCATACTTGTGTGAATTGCATTATCTCATCAAGTGTTAGGTTACATACACAGCATTAAAGGTTTTTGGCAGGGAAGTCCTGTTTGAAGGGGTGGGGGCAGCCATCAATACTTCACTCATCTAATGAGTTAACATTTTACTAAATCAATGTACTACCCAAATGATACCTTCTCTGATTGTATAATTACGGGCTAAGATATCAGTTTATCCATCCATCCATTATCTTTACCCGCTTATTCCATTTTGGGTCACGGGGGTCGCTGGTACCCATGTCCAGCAATCACTGTGTGAGGGGCGGGGTACACCCTGGACGGGTCGCAAGTCCATCACAGGGACACATAGAGACAAACGAGACAAACAAACATTTACTCACTCACTCCTAGGGACAATTTAAAGTTACCAATCAGTCTAACATGCATGTTTTTGGTCTGTGGGAGGAAACCGGAGTACCCGGAGAAAACCCACGCATGCACGGAGAGAACATGCAAACTCCACCCAGAAGGACCCTGGACCGGGGTTTGAACCAGGGACCTGCTCGCTGAGAGGCAGCAGCTCTACCGGTTGTTCCACCGTGCTGCCCAATATCAGCTTAACAAAAGCTTAATAAATGTAATTATTCCAATATGAATTTCTGAGCAAATATGTCTGAGGAAAGACATAACAGGACCTAGAACTATTATATTTTACAGAATGTCATTAACCAGCAGTTAAACAAAAAAGTTGAGGAATTTTCTAACTAACTTCTGAGCTGCACCACAAGAACCGGACGCTTTGAGGAAGCAGCATTACTAGAAAGGGGAAGTTCTGCAGAGACATACTATGTTGTGTACAGGGGACTTGCTCCATGCGCTTTCACGAGCGCACTGCCACACCCTTTGAGTGTTACATGTAGAAAGTAAAACATTTAAGTTTTACACTCACACATTTCTCCTTCTTAGACGTTACGCACTTTCTCAAAATACCGCAACTTTGCAGACGTTGTGGATCATTTATCGCAGCGCAGCAACACACAATCCGTTCGTATTAGATGGCATCACAGAATGGTTCACGTCTGTAAGAGGTGGGAACACAGGGGGGCAGTTTAATTTGACGTGAGCAGACTGAAAATTGTACTGTCTATTGAAGACAATTGTGTAACTGTGAAAAGTTATGACACCATCTTTTATTTTGAAGGCTTTGGAACATATTTTATAACGTAGTCCTTAGCAGGTCTTAAAATACATATATGACAGATTACCAACACATGACACATCAATCTGTGTCATATTTATGCTTATTTAAAAAATATAAGTTGAAGCGTAGTAGCTCGCTCCAAATTTCCAGGTAGCATGCTGCACGTCTAGAAGCTCATTTAGTTGGTTTATAGCATTCATTGTGTCGAGATTACACCAGCAGTGATATTAGAGAAGCACTTGTTTCTGCCTAACAATATGTGCGTTGATGCCTCATAAGTTTCCCCTGAGATTAGACCACGGGACGCTCACAGAAACTTTTGTTGAACAAAAACAAGACAAACAAGAAACCTAAAAGCTGTGTTTCTAAGTTTGCTTACGTCAGTTGTTATATAATACAGTAGTCCCTCGCTACGTCGCGGTTCGTTTTTCGCAGACTCGCTCTACCGCGGTTTTTCAAAATAAGATTGGATGACACACAATTGATGGATGAGCCACACGAGCGGCATGGAATTTTCATTTAAAATAAATTATTTTAAATTATTTAGCACCTGCTGCACCTGTGTGCAGCCCACAGCTGCAAGAGAAGCTTCCTCCTGCAGCGCGTCATATCTCTGTTCTGCAGCGGAGGAGTGGGCGTGGCTAAGAGCGCTGGCAGATTGCAGATATTGCAGCAGGAGGCAGAGAGCTGAGATCATGACATGCTGTGCTCTTTTAGAGTGTTTAGAACATTGTTTAGAATATTGCAAGAATGTTGGAAGGGTTTAAAACACCTGTATATATATATATTGTATATACATATATATATTCAGTATATACATACATATATAAATACATACTAAAATAAATAAATTACTACTTGTATTACTATTCCTATACTTTGCAGTTTTTCACTTATCGCAGGGATTCAGGATATGGATCCCCCGCAATAAACGAGGGACTACTGTATATAAAGTTCACGGTCAGACGGTGGAATGAATAAGTAAGAGTAAATAAGTAGGTTGTGTTTTTGGAAAATAAAAAGCTCTAAATGGAGCTTGGGAGCATCGCTAAGTTTGCAAAGTTACATATTTATACAAAGCTTTTAGAGAAGTGACTTCGCCTTTATGTCGTGTTAACCGTTTATTGACCCTATTTATTTATTTAGTTGTTGGTTTGTTTATTTGTTTGTAATGCAATTTAAAAATGCAAATTTGGTCTTTTTATTGATAACTTGTTATGATAAAAAAAAATTTTTTCCCTGTAATTAAATGGGATCCCCCCACAAATCTTGGGATTGGATAAACTGTAAGGGTGAATGAATTGAGTCCATGTTAAAAAAAAAAACAAGACAAATGTTGAGATGTTTGATTATAACTTCCCAGCACCAAATTCAACGAAAACTCTCAGCACAAACACTTCATACAAATTGTTGAGCACGGCGGTGGAGGGGTCACGATATGGGCTTATTTTGCAGCCACGAGACCAGGGTATCTTGTGTGTCCTTGAGTTGAACATGGACTCCTCTGAACATTAAAGTGTTGTAGAGTTAAATGTGTGATTCTTTGTTTGACGACTTGGACCAAACTGGGTCACAGAACCGGATGATGATCCCAAACACGGCAGCAAACCTTTAACAGAATGGCTGAAAATGAAAAGAATAGGCGTCGGAGTGACCCAGTTAAAGACCAGTCCTCAAGTTGACTGGATCTCTGTCAGAGAGCTGTAAACAAAGGCAGTATTAACACTGAGAAATGCTCACGAGTGGTTTTTCTGAGGTTTTAAGACGTGTTGAGGATTAAAAAACCATTTCATTTTGTCTTTATAAGTAAAACTTTACAATGTAAAAAAGCATATATGTATTTACCTTTTTAATTTTTCATAAAACTTAAATTCAATGAAAAACTGCAGTTATGCAATAGATTTGTTGGACTCTGATGAATAACATGCATAAAAACTCGGTGTCGAAGTTTATTGAAGTGAGCTTTGATTTGCATTCACATGCGTTTAGTTGTAGGTTTTAATATATTTTAATATAATCTTTTTTTTTTTAATTGGGTATGTTAGGGCAGGTTTGAATCAGCGTTTTATTTATGGATCCGTCGACTTTCAGGATGCTCAGAGTAGACACGATTAGAAATATAATTTTATAAAGTTATCTTTAGACAAGTTGTTCATCTGAATTATTAGAAATAGCAGCTCGTTTTCATGTGAAAACTAGAACTGACGCAAATGATTTCAATAACGTTGGTTGAATCGTTTCCTAGTAACTTTTGTTAGACGTGGTAAGAGGTCATTTTGTGATGTGAAACCTGGGGTCCAGTTTGTCTGGGGAATCCCTGAGTGTCTGAAGTGAAACTGCCTGAAAAGGAACCGTTTTATATTCCAAGTGTTCATTTTGTCTTATTAGTGTCGTTCGAGTTTAAATCTAGGACAAAAACCTGACAAAAAAAAAATCTTCCATATTATTATTTTATTGCTTTTACGTCAGTTTTTAAAGTTTAGATATTGGAAAATATCTTGTATTTAGTGAGCTTTGCCGGTCCTCTCACATTGGTCTCTGCATTTAGAACGTTAAACCTACTTTCTTCCTCTCAGCTTTCCTTTTTGTCCTTTATCTTCTACCCAGAAACCCTTCATGACCCTTTGCATCATGGTCCTTTGTCTCCTGTGTGTGTCGTCCCCTTTATCTCCATTGCGCTGACCCAGAGTGCAGTATGTGACGTGTCTGCTTGACCCGTTTAGCCAAGAGGAAACAGACTGCCACATTATGCGTTGGCCAGAAAACAATTAACCCTCTCTTATGATTGCCGTGCGATTACGGCCCCTGCTGCACAATGAAAGTGTGTGTGTCAGTGCGTACGTGTGTGTACATCTTCTTACTGGAACACAGCTGACAGTTTCTGGGAAAGTAAAGAAGAGTTCTCGTTCTAAGTGCTCCGTGTCTTCTTGTAGGAACGACGAGTGCTCAGTCTGTGGAAAGATGAGCAGAAGATGTTTCTGGAAGATATTTTGCCAGATTTTGTTTACAACACAAGGAAGAGATCGATACGAAGTGAATAAGAAATGACCAAAGTTTTTCTTCCTTAATTGGCGGGACTATGTTAGCAGACAGGTTAGCAGGAAGACAATTCAACAAGATTGTTATACATGATGATTGACTGTTTTGGATGGGTGGGCCCTGTTTGGGTGTGTTAAAAGCCTGTTTCTGAGATTCCACAGGAGGTTGGCTTGAAGCACAGCAGTGACGGCATGAGACAGATCTGGTTGGCAGTCTGTAGACTGAAGAAGTCCTCCGGATGGGAGACAAAACGTTTATAGAAACTGGTCCAGATTACATGATTTTAACTTTTTTGTTGTTTATAATTCAACAACCATTCC